TCAACCAGAGAGAAAGAAGTAGGCCTACATCATCAGCTACCATGTCTGACAGAGAGGAAGACAGTGAGGAGAACAGTCAGGAGGGGAGTGATGACAGCTTGTAGGATTACTGGTCGTGCTAATGTTGTCTTGTGTTCACCTCTGCATGTGTGTTCTGTGTTCACCTCACGTGTGTTCAGTGCCGTGTGTCTGGCAAATAAAGTCAAGACCCCCTCAAAAGTTACGGTTTATTTCATTTTAAGGATGAGCACCAAGCAACATCTCCAGGTGCTCCTTTGAGAACCAGGGCAAAAAAGTTATGTGCACCCCTGCTTATTATGCATACAATACACAAAGACATGACAAGTATTAGCTGAATGACACAGCATGTGATGCAATTCAACAGAAGCTCTATGGAGCAAAAAAGCTCCACTGAAGATACATGTCACATTTTTAGGGAAGGTAATTCATTTCTGATCTTATGAATTAATTCCTGGGACCAAAATGGGTAGGAAACCACAGATGTGTTGTCATCTTGCAAACAACAACAATAAATATGTGCACTTTGGGTCTAATAGGATTATCTAAAATACGACCTACTGACTGCAGTGTTAACATCAAACATGTTGTTTCCTAATTGTATGTTTTAACAGGGCCTTCAGTCCAAAGACTTTAATTCCAAAATGATACTTCCACAGTCAAGAACCAAATACTTGTCAGCGCAAAACATCTCTTATCGGTAATACTATTTGTGTAACACTCATTTGAACATGTTGCCCACAAGGCTTTTTTTTTTTTTTTAATTACAATATCAAGCCTTGGTTCTTTAAGCCTATAATTTCATAACTAAATATTTACATACAGTATCTAAGAATACTGTGTTGTACTATTTGTCACACCTGGCTACTTTCTGTGCTAGCAGCTGACGGAGTGTGGTGTAGGCAAGAGGAACTGGAAACTGTGCTCTAGTCTCGGTGTCTAAAAACAAACAATTCTTAATGAATTGACATAATGAACTTTAAGTAAACTATCGCACTAGCTTAATAAAACTTTATCACCAATTAAAAAGTGAGTCACACTTCTTCACAGGAGGGTGTTTACCGTTTGAAAATAATAATTGATTTTCTATGCTGATCGAAATTGCTGTGGGGGTAAAACACTTACTCCCTAATTCGACCTTAATGTTGCTTGCAATGAATAAAAAAACGAACAAACACCAATAAAGAAAACTATTTTATTATTCAGACTTGTTCATTGAGATTTTCAACAAAGCTTAAAATAACAGAGGATTACTCCCGGTTTAGAACAACACAGTGGCGTGAGTCAGAAGTGAATCACAGCCTACAGAGAGGCCAGACAGGTGGCTTCAGATGCTTCAGACACATGACCTGATGGGTGGGTGACCTCTTCCCAGCAAACACACAAAGGCCTCGGCATGAGCAAGACCCCTGGCATGAGCCCAGAGCTGGTGTGTGTGTGTGTGTGTGTGTGTGTGTGTGTGTGTGTGTGTGTGTGTGTGTGTGTGTGTGTGTGTGTGTGTGTGTGTGTGTAGCAGGCAGATTCCACATAATCATTTCCCACGGCTCCACCCTCTATTGTTTAATCAAGTCTTTCCACTGATTATCCCAGTTCAGATCAAAACATCATTTTCCTGCCGGACAACAAAGATGGAATAGATTAAGGGACTTACAGTAAGTGCTGCTTATCCTTACTGACCCACAGGTTTATGGGAAATGCATCCCCCTATAACTTAAATGGAAGACAAACAGAGTGTCATAATGAGAAAACAATGTAGCTGTTTTCTTTTCAGTTTCTTGGTTAATTCAATATTTCAGAAACAAGACTAGCTCTTGAGACGCAAGACGCTCTCGTGAGCCATGTCCAAGGACTTTCTTTTAGAGCTATTTCCCACAAATGCATGTCTCATTATAATAAAGTAACACATATCAACAAAGGTGTGACTTTAAATGACAACCTTCACAAATGACGTTTTTCCTGGTTTGCTTAATACAATTATTTCAACATGTTATTCCCCTTTAGCGTCACCATTTCATTCACTGGTGCCTAAATGCAACTGAAAGGAATGATTGGGCCGGAAGGTCTCTTTCTACTATGGCTAATGTTTCTTTATGTTGTGATTCTTGTTCAAATACTAAAGAATAGAATAGAATAGAATAGAATTCCTTTATTATCATCGCACCAGGTACAACGAAATTTAAAAAAGTCAGTCTTTTACCAAAATCCTTATAATCCAGACCAGTTAAAATACAGTAAATCTCTATAGTTACCATGAAGCCATCAACAGCACCACAGAAAATGAAAATGAGCTTACAAAAATAATTAAGCCTTCCATAATATTAAAGGGTAGAACAGATTTGGGAACGGATGTGTCACCAAAAAAAAGGTTTTGTCGGTCTTCCTCTATCTATTCCAAAGCTCAAGTTAGTCATTGACCTTTGACTCATGACATGCAGACAATCCGTGTCAATATTGCCACACTTTAAGGAGGAAGTGACAATGTAATGGCATACCATATCTCTGTGAGTCCTACATCCTGGATAAGCCTTCATATCATTTGTTTTGCTCATTGATACCATCTTCTCAGGGGCTGGGAAGTAAATACATTTTGTAATGGGGCTGCAATTCTGTAATCGCCATTGGAATGTCATAAACGCATCACACTTTTGTATCGTTTTCTAATTCGTCTGGTCCCTAGAGTGTAAGGCTGTTATAGTTGCTGGTATGCTGATTCTGTCACCATCAGAAAGGTCTAGCTGTTTTCCCCCTGTAGCGACAATTTCACAATAAATGATGACGCTTAGAGGTTAACCTTGGCTCAAAGCTGTGACATATTCTAAAAAATTCTGTACTGAAGTTAAAGTTTTAGGATATTTAACAAAGAAAATAAACAAACAATAAGCAAGTTAAGACCGTACAGTCAACAGAAAATATCAGGCTTCGTCATCCACAAACCCCGAACAGGTGCCCTAAATACCTAAACCACATCCATGTTCAAATGTGCGAGAGTGGCCAATTACAAATGTGTGTGGAGTTAACAATAATGATAATAAGACAATAAATAACATCTAAATAAGCATTTGGGCTCCTACGCCCCTGATTCCAGTCTTTATGCTATGCTAAACTGAGTGTCAAATGGAAATAGCTTCATATTTACCACACGTACATGCGAGTGGAACCAATCTTCTCTTGGCAACAAAGCAAACAAGTGCATTCCTAAATGTTGAACTATTCCTTCAAGCCACTCTGCAACTCAAAGCATGTCAGCAAAACAATCTTGCAGTAGCTTCCATTTCACTTGTCTTTATAACCTTAATCTGGGGGTTTAGGTATAATCTGAGGTCTCAACCACTCTGCAGCCCCCTCAGGGTTAATCTAAAAGACCAGCAGACCAGGGTTTCCGTTAGCCGGTAATTACCGGTTTTTAGCTGATAAAATGTATTAAAAACCGGTCAATTCAAAACCTGCCGGTCAAAATGTCTGGTAATAATAAGGGACGCTTCGATAGATCGGCCGCCGGTCATTATCGGTCGATATTCACTCTTAACAGTTTGATCGGTGCCGATCAGGAGAGCTGGATCTGATCGATATGGACATAAACGCGAGTGAAGTATAACCGGACGCGAGAGAGAGATCAGATCAGCTGCTGAGTCAGACCGAGACACGCAGCTCTGCATAATCACCTGAAGCCCCGCCTCTGTTTAGCGAGCTGCATGAGAAACTGACGGGCTGTCAGAGAGAGAGGGAGGGAGAGGGGAAAAGAGAGCATCCGTTTCTCTCGTGTCAAAGTTAATGTAAACTTTTGAATAATGTACTTCATCTACTACAAGTAGTTTCTTTGAATGTAATAATTATGTTGTTTGTTGTTTGTGGAATCATTTATTGAAAAATGGATCTGAATTTTTCGATCTGTTACGATTATAAACTGAAGCAATATAAAAATGAGCCTCGTGAACTGAGTTTTAAACATCAGCATATCTGCTCATAGTCCGGTAATTACCTGCTAACGGAAACTCTGCTACACAACTCTTATTATTATTATTGAAATATGACCGGTGATTTTCAAATGTGTCCGTTAAAATAAATTCTGCCCGGACATTTGACCGGCGAGAAAAAATCCTAGCGGAAACCCTGCAGCAGACCTCTTCATTTTTGGGCCGTAGCTACAATTGAGAAATCAGTTCAGGCTCCTAGATAGACTACTTAATGCTGACTGCTTCACACACAAGACACATAATGTCAACAGCACATACATTCTTTAAGGCTCTGTTTATGTACTGCAGCAAAAGCATAGACAGAATACATTGGGCCTAGTAGTCTGAGGTAAACCACTAATCCACGTGATTCAAGAAAATGTGATGCAGCAGATTAGTACAAAAACAAGACATATCTGATTCATCACTACTGGTTGATTACTGTTATGCCTCTACCTGAAAATGCTAAATGAGGCGTGAGCTCTCTAAAGTCATCCACTTCGAGCAATTCACTTTAGGTCTGGTCCTGAGCCAAATGTAGGAAGGGTCTCTTGATTGTATGATGTCTGCTCCAAATGGAAGAGCTGCTAGCCACAGCAAAGGAACAGGCCAGCGAACAGGCCGTGCTACAATATTGACAAGCTGCTCAGTCTGTGCACACTGAAGTGATTAAAGTCAAATGCAACACATGCATTTGTTGACGATCCACTGTGTCTATTAAAAAATGCCATAGTTAATGAAATGTCATCTGTCATCTGTTGAGATGTTTTAGTTCCCTTATGTATTGTCCTTTGCTGCAACCCAGCTGTCTTAAATTACTTACTGTCAGGTCTCTTGTTGCACTAAGAGTGTATTTGCTCTACTTGATCCTGATAATCACCAAGGGTCTCATAACTCAAGAAAAGCCATGGCCATTGATTGCACCGTTGTGTTGTGTTATTGTGGGGGTAGTAATATTGTTTCTTCTATTTATTTATATTTTATATCGGGTAACAAAAGCAGTGGTAGTGTTGACATTAAAACTCTTACCTGCAGAAGAGGAGTCTTCGTGGTCGGAGCTCACGTATCCGTCACTCCTCCGGTCCGGGGTGCTGCAGCCGGAGCCGCGGGAGGGTCTGCAGAGAATCTGCGGGAAGGACGGGGACAGCCTGCCGTCGTCTCCGGAGTCAAAGTCCCTGCTGTGGCGGAAAGGCCGCAGGGAATTAGACGTCCTCTGGTTGTCCCTGCCGCCCATCTTTGGAGCCAACAAGTTATTCCTGACGAAGTTTTCATTCAGCTCCGTATCCTCGTATTCTCGGTCGCTCACCACATCGTTATCATTCGGTAAGGCAAGGACAGGTGGGGCCGTGTCCCCTCTCTGAAAGTTGAACCTCCGTGGCGGGACAGGGATGGGGACGGGCTTACCTGTCTTGCCGCTGAACCTGGCTCGTTCCCGCCCGAAGGAGCTCAGGACACCCGGTGTACTACCTGCCGCGTGGAGCCTCACGCCCCCAGCCTCGGACACCTTGGTCCTCTGCCCGTCGCCCTCATCCTCCTTCTGCCACGGTTTCCTAATATCCCCCGTCTTAGAAAATGAACGCTTCTCTGCGTTAAAGTTTTCATCTTTATCCTCAAACCTTTCCGGGTCGTTGCTCTTCTGCCGAGCCACGGTGGTCTGCAGGTAGATCACCTTGAATTTCTCCTCCGCCAGAGCCTTCTGCAGCCTCTTCAGGTTGGCTTTGCTCGCCTCCAGCTCCGACTCGATGTCCTCTACAGACTTCAAGTCCATTGTTGGTACCTTTCCGTCAGGAAATTCATTCCTCCAGTGTTTTGCGAATTCCTCCTGTTCCCACATTTCGATGTTAAAAACGGTCTCTAAGCCAAACACAGTCTCGTAACAGTCAGGGAGACAAAATATCCTTGTCTTCTCCGACAGTCAGCGGCGTATCTGTGAAAAATACCCTCCTTCCTCTCCTTCTAAGTTAAAACTGTCTGTCGCAATTAACCCGAGTGTTTTCTGACCATCCTCAGCCTCCCACACACACAAACAGCAGCGTGTGCAGAGAGATACGCATAACAAGTTGCCACTGCGTTTGAAAACTTTCGAGACTTCCTGTATTGAGACGTGCTGCCTTCAAGAGCTGCTCGAACAACTGTGTTGTCTATATAGTTTTACGACAACCAAACCAAATCAATACAGCACACCTTCATACCAGATGTAGGTGTGTTTGGCTTTAGTAGCAAAAAAGCAAAACAACACATTTATTTCCTCTGGCCTTAACATTCAGACAGAGATTGGAGAAGTACTCAGATCTTGTACTTAACAAAATGTAGAAGTACCAGAGTGTGGGAATACTCTGTTACAAATAAAAAATATGTCATTCAAAAATGTTACTCAAGTAAAAGTAAACAAGTATTTGCATTAAAATAAACTTGAAGTACCAAAAGTAAAAGTACTCATTATGAAATGTACTCCAGGTGTAACTAAAGTCTTATTTAGGTGTTGTTTATATTTCAAATTATGAATCCAAATCCACAAAGTAACTAAAGATCTTAAAACATTTTTGTGGAGTTAAAGTACACGATTTACCTCTGATTAATAGTGGGATAGAAGTACAAAGCAACACAAAATGAAATACACATGTTAAGTAAATGTCTCTCAAAAGTGTACTGCAGTAAACTAATTGAGTAAATGTACTTAGTTACTTTACACCACTGCATGTAAATGTTATCTACAGAGCTTTGACCTGCTTTCATTTAGACATCCAGTATGTCAGATGTGTAAGGGATAATAATAATAAAGAAAATAAAAAGCAAGTAAAATGCAAAACCAAATGATTGTGAGAATAGAAACAACATTTATTTAGCTCAACAATCTTAAACTGTACTGATTACATAATACTGTATGAAATCCATATCATCAAATGTTCACACATCTTATACTATTTGAGAACCACAGAAAATTCCTATCATGCGCATTAGTGCAAATAATAACGACAGCACTTGAATGCAACATGTTCTTGTAAAGTGGAAGCGGTTGATATGGATTCCTCTAACTTCCTCCAATAACAGTCAAGCAACAACCATGCTTTACTTAGAATTAAAATGCTCACACCGTGTGTTCTGAATTTAAAAATGTGTTTTATTTATATAAAAAGGAGCTTCCTGTATTGGGCTAACACAGGTCCATGTGTGCACTTTTATCGTCTGACATTAGGTTACAGTAGTGATTTGCCAACTTGCATTTTGCAAAACATATTTCTGAAAGGATGGCACTGTCTGCTTCTCTGTCACCAGTCTCTCTCCAGCTGATGGTTTGACATAAAGGAAGCTAAAGGAAGAGTTCTGAATGTGCTCGTGTTTATCAGGTATTTCCTTTGAAAGAAAACACTGGCACCACAAACCCACAAGCACATGTTGGTGCTTTTAACGTGCATTTGTGCATGCATATCAGATACAATAGCTGAATAGAAATGTGACACTTGATTAACCTTTACCACCCACTTAATTGATAGCAACACCAGACCGATTCTTTACATTTCAACATTTTAAATGTAGCAATGGAAGCATTTGTTTTAGTTTACCTTGAAATACTCTCAAACAACATGATTTTTCATGAATGATAAACAAAGGAATAAACATAAAACCCAATCACCTTCATCCCAGCATAAATGCAGCTATGGTAAGCAGCCTTGTGTGATACTTCCAGTAAAACAGAGTTGTAATGCAATTGAATAGAAGACAAAGTTACCATGCGGACAGAAAAGTATAGAGGAGGGAGGGGGCAGAGATGGACGCTTGGTATTTTTCAAGTGCTTGTTTGGATCCGTGCCCAGAACTGAAGGATAATTGTCCTGAAAGCTTTCAGTAGCCAGGAGGAATCATTGATCAGCACTCGGTGAGCTCCGGTTGGGTTACTGTAATGAATAGATGGGAAGGGCTATGACCAGCCTGGAGACATGAAACTGAAATATTCAAACCCAATATGATATAGCAGGGCATGCATGGACGTGTCTTATTATAATATACATGTTTTACTGCAGTCGGCATCCGGAATAAAACATGACCTGCATAGTAGCACATGGCAGAGAGCATTCTTTACATCTCTTCACTAAAGTCATTCAAAAATGAATAATGAAGTTACTGGTATTATACTCAAATTGTATTTGTACCAAGTATGTATTGTATTAAGTATAGCTAAAAAAGTAAAAGTGGTCATCAATTTATGATTCATTAATGTGTCAATTTATTATATGAAAATATACTTTTTCTGCATTGTATGGTGCTTTAGAATTAAAAAAGTATAATGTAACTATATCTGAACAAATAATGACAAATGATAAGACATTTAATCACGTTTTTATTTTATTTTTTACAACGCGATAGATATATATATATATAGCCCTTATCTTATTTTACTGTGTTATATTTCTTTACATATACAGGTTTGTGTGTGTATTGTAATGATCGATAAGAGTGTTGCTGGTAAAGTATTGAACTTTGTCCTTTTTGGGTTTTAATGTTTAGTTTTATTTGATGTGTGAGGCACTCCTTAGTTGGATGAAATCATATTATAAAAGTATTATTAGAGCAATTCAAGAGCTTTAGGAATACATTTATAATATAATTTCACTTGAAAACAGAGTGCATTAAGCTTTATTTTCCTATTGTTGTCTGCACACGGCTTCCTGGATCCTTCAGAGCCATGCAGTGCTACCTTTTTCGTAATATACTGAATATATCAGTATTTTCAATATGTTAAATCTACTTATTTAAATAATAACATATTAGAAGCCAGGACTCCAAACATCATGTGATTGCTCTTAAATAATGTTATTATTCAATGAATAGTTCCTAGACGCTCATTAGAAATGGCCTTAATCCAGATTCATAAAATCCCAATGCATGTGCATGTATAATTTATATTAACAGCAAAGAAGTAATATAGTCAAGATTAATAATGTGGAGAGCGTATTGGAAGTATGTGCTAATAAACTAAAGATTCAGCTCTGACAGTCTGCACCTGACTGATCCAGTATGCTGCAGCAGAGTGCATGATGGGAAGGGTTCTATCGGTGAGTATGTGCCGCCCTCTAGTGGCTGCAGGTGCTGTCATACAATACTGTCAAATTAGTTCCCAACCTTTTTAAGAGACCCATTTTCTATCACAAAGTAAACTGATATCCCCTGACTTAGTGAAATAGTTTATGGATAGTTCATCATGTAGGTAGTAATGCATGACAAAAAAACTGCAAAACAACCGATTACCTGTATATAAACTGTATAATTAACGAAAATAGTGCACATAATAAATGTGAATATTGCATCAGATGAGTATTCTTGTTATATAAACTATTTTAAATACAAGTTTCTCATGTATTATTTTTTTTAAAGAGGACATATTGCTCATTTTCAGGTTCATATTTGTAATTTGTGCCTCTACTGTGACATGTTTACATGCTTTAATGTTCATAAAAGTATTTTTCTCATACTACCTGTGCTGCAGCATCTCTTTTCACCCTCTGTCTGAAACCAGAGCCCAGTCTGCTCTGATTGGTTAATTGGCCGCCTCTGTTCCGATTAGTCAACGCTTAGAAATGTCCCGCCCCTTAGCCAGAGGTGGAAGAAGTACTCAGATCTTGTACTTAAGTCAAAGTAGAAGTACCAGAGTGTAGGAATACTCTGTTACAAGTAAACGTCCTGCATTCAAAATGTTACACAAGTTAAAGTACTACGTATTAGCAAGTAAAAGTACTCATTATGCAAATTGCCCTCTTTGATGTTGTTGATAGTGCTACAGATGCGCTGCGAATAAAATTAGACTCTGTTGCTCCTTTGAAAAAGAAGAAAATAAAACAACATAGATTAGCTCCATGGCATAATGCCGAAACCCGCAAAATAAAGCAAAAGTCGAGACAACTTGAAAGGATATGGCGTTCCACTAAACTTGAAGAATCTCGTTTAATTTGGCATATTACTCTCAATGAATATAAGAAAGCACTGCGTAAAGCGAGAGCAGCCTACTACTCTTCATTAATAGATGAGAATAAGAATAATGCAAGATTTCTTTTCAGCACTGTAGCCAGGCTGACAGAGAGCCACAGCTCGATTGAGCCTTCTATTCCCATAGCACTCAGTAGTAATGATTTTATGTGCTTTTTTAACGATAAAATTGTTACTCTTAGAAACAAAATGAATGACCTCTTGCCTTTGACCAGTATAGTGTTATCAACAGCTCCCGGAAACGTAAGTTCTAATATTACACTAGATAGTAAACTAGAATGCTTTTCAGCCATAAACCTTGAACAATTAAATTCAATGATTCTCTCTTCTAAACCATCAACGTGTATGTTAGACCCAATTCCAACTAAGCTGTTGAAGGAAGTTTTTCCATTAATTAGCACTTCTTTATTAAACATTATGAATATGTCTTTATTATCAGGCTATGTTCCACAATCATTCAAAGTAGCAGTGATAAAACCTCTTCTTAAAAAGCACAACCTCGATCCAGAGGTTTTAGCCAATTATAGACCTATTTCTAATCTTCCGTTCCTCTCAACAATTCTTGAGAAAGCGGTCGCAAAACAGTTGTGTGATTACTTAAAAAACAATGATTTATTTGAAGATTTTCAGTCTGGCTTTAGAACACATCATAGCACAGAGACAGCTCTGGTTAAAGTCACAAATGACATTCTAATAGCTTCTGACAAGGGACGTGTCTCTATTCTTGTTTTGCTCGATCTTAGTGCTGCATTTGATACTATCGACCATGATATCTTATTGCAAAGACTAGAGCACTTAGTTGGCATACAGGGAACTGCTTTAGACTGGTTTAGGTCCTATCTATCTGAACGCTCTCAGTTTGTACGTGTCAATGATGAATCTTCCACGCAAACCAAAGTTAGCCATGGAGTGCCACAGGGCTCAGTGCTCGGACCTATTTTGTTCACATTATATATGCTTCCGTTAGGCAATATTATAAGGAATCATTCTGTACATTTCCACTGTTATGCGGATGATACTCAACTATATTTATCAATCAAGCCTGATGAAATTAATCATCTAAATAAAATTCAAGACTGCCTCAAGGACTTAAAAACGTGGATGACCTTAAATTTGTTGATGTTAAACACGACCAAAACTGAAGTTATTGTACTCGGCCCAAAGAATCTACGAAACAAACCATCTAAAGATATACTAGTTATGGATGGCATTAATTTGGCCTCCAGTGAGACTGTAAGGAATCTTGGTGTTATATTTGATCAGGATTTATCCTTTAACGGCCACATACAATCAATTTCAAGGACCGCCTACTTCCATCTACGTAACATTGCAAAAATCAGGCATATCTTGCCTCAAAACGATGCAGAGAAACTAGTCCATGCATTTGTTACTTCAAGGCTGGATTATTGTAACTCTTTATTATCAGGGTGTACCAAGAAGTCAGTCAAGTCGCTTCAGCTGATTCAAAATGCTGCAGCTCGTGTACTAACCAGAGTTAGGAAAAGGGACCACATTACTCCTGTTCTGGCTGCCTTACACTGGCTCCCTATAGAACACAGGATAGAATTTAAAATTCTTCTTCTCGCCTACAAAGCCCTTAATGGGCAGGCGCCATCTTACCTTAAATAACTCATTATACCCTACTGTCCTACTAGGGCATTGCGTTCCAAGAATGCAGGGTTGTTGGTTGTTCCTAGAGTCTCTAAAAGTACAATGGGAGCCAGAGCCTTTTCTTATCAAGCTCCACATTTGTGGAATCAGCTTCCAGTTTGTGTTCGGGCGGCAGACACCCTATCCGTTATTAAGAGTGCGCTTAAGACCTTCCTTTTTGATAAAGCTTATAATTAGGGCTGATTAGATTCAGCCCCTAGTTTTGCTGATATAGGCTTAGTTTGTCGGGGGACATCTTACTTCTTCCTTCTCTCTGTCTATACCTGTGTACTCTCATGTTCCGATTAACCCAGCTTCCCCAAATGTCTTTCTTTTTGGTGTCTATATACGCCGAGATCCGGAGTCATGGATGATCCTGCGCTCCTCTGTCCTGGATCGCGAGCCCTGGATCTTGAGTCGTGGCTGTGGTCCTGGATCATAGGTCCTGGATGGATATCCTCGTGGATTCATCTTCCTATTATACACACATGCATTTCCAAACATTTGGACTACCTATGTTGCAAATGTATTATCTTTTCAATTTACACACGGCATCTATTGCACGTCTATCCGTCCTGGGAGAGGGATCCCTCCTCTGTTGCTCTCCCTGAGGTTTCTCCCATTTTTCCCTTTAAACTGTGGGTTTTCTCTGGAAGTTTTTCCTTGTACGATGTGAGGGTCTAAGGACAGAGGGTGTCCTATTGTCATACTGATATTTTGTACAAACTGTAAAGTCCACTGAGACAAATGTAACATTTGTGATATTGGGCTATATAAATAAACATTGATTGATTGATTGATTTGAAAATAAACTTGTTTTAGGATCTTCACTTGGCCCTTATCCCGTGAGATTTAAATAAAGGTTTACGTCTTAAATAATAAGCCAAACTTTATAAATAAGATTGTCAACACAGAAATCAATAACATCTAGAGTGAAATGCATATCTTTTTTGAAAACTTGTCTAAAACCCAATAAATCAAGAAGGTCTCCTGACCCCCATTGAAACATTGGAAATGCCTATTAGGGGTTGGGACCCCTAGGTTGGGAACCATTTGCTCTAACTGACAAAACAAGCATGACGAGTCAAGGCAACTCATTATGAAAAGGTGCATCTACAAACAACTAAATATCCCAGTTTAGCATAGTACTACATTTATTGATCGGATAATTTCCACAGGACTTTAAGACAGTAAACGTTACTCATCACATAAATAGTGCTACCAAAAATATTGCTAATTAGAAAATGAATGACCGTAACACCACAGCGATACACTTTGACACAACAAAGACGTAAAAAAATATTAAAAGTACATATGCCCTCCGAGAATCCTAAACGTCACTTAAAACGTACAGTACAAGTATATAAAAATAGACACAAATATATGATTATAAAACATGTTTCAAACTGCATCCCATTTGTTTAGAGGATCAGGACAATTTCTTATCAAAATATGTTATCCAACATATTTTCTATAAATTTCACCTCAGATTTTTGTTGTGCAAGTTTTATTGTTAAATCTCTATTAAGGCAAGACTAGGACAGCACCACAGATGCAACCACTGGAGTTACAGGTATGTATCAAAGGCCACAAACACACCCTTCAAAATATGTTACAAATATAAGAGGACAAACAACTACAGTTTTGGGTCAAAGGTTGCAGGTTATGATCCAAAATGGCTGTCCTGAGCAGTTGTAAGAAACTTAAAGAGTGATGTATGGTGATTTATCAGCCATCAATAATTAGGCTTGGCGTTTAATGTTATAAAAACTTAGTTGATTTAATGTAAATATATTTTTTAAATAACATCAGTATCATAAATACTTACCACAGCAATATACCAGCCTTTAAATCAAAGACTTTCACAGTGACTTTTTGCAAAGCCTCTAAAAAAGGTTCTTTGCATAGTTAGGAGATAGTAAATGCATAGAAAAAAGAAAGCAGTGTGTAAAATATGGTATCTCGTCAATATTCGGTGAGAAAAGTCTATACACAGATTTGTTATTGTGGCTAACAAAGAATCATTGAAGCCTTTACAAACAGTTTTCATACTTTTCTGATGGAACTGGCCACCAAGCTTTCTCGTCTGGTGGTAACAAATGCCTGTTGTTTTTCATAATAGGCCGCCTCATTAATAAAAGTGGGGTAGACCGTTCCTGAGCCTTGGAACCGGATGGTCTTTCCATCAAAAGTTTGGAACATAGGGTCACCGGGGTTCAGCGGCTCCCAGTCACAGTCCTGAAACAACAAGCAATAACCACGGGGAAAGTAACTTGAGTATGTTGCTCAAACTAAAATAACAAGGTCTCACAGTGACCAGAGATGTCTCATTTCCTCTTTCGTTATGAAAGAGGAAATGAGACATCTCTGGTCACATCATATTTACAGGTTCAATAGATCAGATTTCTGGTCGATGAAGGCGGCTGTAGTTCAGACGTTTACCTGCAGATTGGGATGCACCATAGCTATGATGTTTCCGTTGGCATCTCTGGGGTAGTCGATCCTCTCTAAGACCCGGAAAACTTCTACTGTACAGGAAGGGAACTCCATGCCTGAACAACACACAGAACACAACATCCCCCATACTGTTAGCATCCTGGATAATAAGGTATTCCAAAAACTTGTTGTAAATGTACAAAGAAAAGAATAGGCAATATCAATCCTAATACATGTTAGGCTAGAGCTAATAACAATGGTATTGCCTCTGAGTATAGGAGGATGAAACAATTTAAACAGAGAAGAAAAAGAGACAAAAAACATGCTTCATATGAGCACAAGTACCATTGTATACAGGGAACTAAAACTGCATGAAATCAAATGACCCGTATCGAATGTAGACTACAAAGACAGAAATATACTTAGTCTATTCATTTGGAGTGTGTATACAGTAACAATAATTTGGATATTGAAGACCTAATATAAGCGTACATTGTAAATATATTAAGCATTGTTATTTTGTTATTATATTTTATGTTGAGAATAACGGACATGATCCATAAAAAAAAAGGGAAATTTGTTTTCGATTTCGCGTCGAAAGGAGCCAGTTGAGGTGGTTCGGGCACCTAGTTAGGATGCCACCTGTGCGCCTCCCTAGGGAGGTGTTCCAGGCACGTCCAGCTGGGAAGAGACCGAGGGGTAGACCTAGGACCAGGTGGAGGGATTATATCTCTTCGCTGACCTGGGAGTGCCTTGGGATCCCCCAGTCAGAGCTGGTTGATGTGGCCAGGGAAAAGAAAGTTTGGGGCTCTCTGCTGGAACTGCTACCCCCGCGACCCGACCACGGATAAGCGGGAGAAGATGGATGGAAATTGTATAATCTTTTTTTATTTTTTTAAAATTTTTATTCCTCGAGATTGTGAGAAACAGCATTTCAATCTCTCCGTCTGTATCTCACATAGATGATTGACAACAAAGTTGACTGACTTTTCTGTATAGTTAATCTCTGACATAGCTACATTATAGGACTTTGCTATTGAAGCTGGAAGGAGCCACACACGGCCAAAGTGGCATTATTCAAACTGAGCTAAACAGGATGTGCAGTGGTTTGTGGCAGAGCTTGCACATTCAGTAAGTCAAGCTCAATTGAACTGCTTTACCACTAAGTGTGAGACTACTTGGCTGTATTAATATGCAAGCGGCAGCACAGAGCAAAAGGGACAAATGTTCAGACAGTGTTCTCTCTGAACAAGTTGTTTCTTGGTGATGTTCAACTTCAAAGGGCAGGAACACTGATTCATAACCATGCCAGGGCATTCATCAGCACCAGTGCAGGCCCCACGACAGAAGATTAACGCACCATTGGCAACCAGACTCTAAAAACAAGCAGGCCATTCAACAGGCTGGGCAGATACCAACAGACTGCAACTCACACTTGGCACGGACTGATTGTTTACGTAAAAGAGGAAGGAACGACTGCCTAAACATTGCAAACTCTCTTTTGTGCCTAAGGGTAAGAGAGAGAACGGGATGCAGGCACAGAATCGGACTGGCACCCATGGGCGTTTTGTCACAAGATGTTTCTCGTCAAGATGAGGCAGACAAAAAGGGAAGTAAACAACTTGTTTTTATTTTATATAACACATATGATTCATAACATGAGTCGGATTCTAGAAACTGCAAACTTTAGGAATCATGTTTGATTCAATCTCAACTGCTAATCTTTTAAAGTCCTATGATGTGGCCTGTGTAGCGTGTTAAAGCTTAAAATGGTAAGCCGCTACAGTGTGCCTGCCTTACCTTCATTAAACAGTTCAATGAAGTCCAGCGCATGTTTCAGTATCACCCTCATAGCTTCAAATATGTTGCTCCTCAAAACACCTTGAGGCTGGGGACCCACTTCCAGACCTGAAATGAAACAAACCAGAAGACACATTTGGCAACTGTCGAGGGATTATTGTAGGTTCATTTTTCCAAGGGACATTTGCTTGAAAGACTTGAAAGAGACTCACCAACAGGGTGCTTGGCAATAGAGCGGGAAGTGGAATATTTCAAAAGAGGATGTTCATTCAGCAGAACAAGACAACTACTTGGAGCGATGGCTTTCTGCAAAACAAGTCAAACAAGCTAGAAGTTAGCTTCAGGTAATTACATACCTAAGCTGCTAAGCAGCACCAGTGTATTACTGACGTTACATTTAGAGCCTTCTTTTGTATTACAGATGTTCTGATATGTTATTTTAATATTCACATGAGGCAATATCTTTGCACATTTGCATACATTTCAAGAACACAAATCTGACCATTGGATGAAACTAGGTTAAACATTATTGTTTTATTACACTGTAAAAACAGTTACATAATGAGTTTGGATTTATATTTGTATCACTTTCAAAATGTGATATCGACCCTTGAACCTGAAAGCATCCAAAAAGAAATGTTAAAAAACTATCTTTTTCTTATGTCTTGACTCAGGTCTCTGAATTAGTGGGGAAGCTAAGTCGCCATTTGTGGGGTAATCTTCTATCTTTGTATCCGTTTGTTCATTCTTTTTTCTAAGTTCAAAACACATTTTTCTCTCCTTTCAGTAAAAGAGTTTGTTGCTTTTGGCAGCTCTTTCCCTCCCTGGTGTTACTATTCTGAATACCTTCATTTTTGTTGAACAGCTCAAGCAGTTCAATACATTCCAAACAGGAACACCAGCTGATGCAAAGTGAGGTTTGTAAAGTTTTAAAGGTATATGTGCTTAAAATAAATGTTATGTCGTAGTTCAAATACTACATGAAGAAGACATCTTCTCAGACTCATAAGAAAACAGGCTCAAGTATGTGGATGGTTGAACCTTTAAATGAGTGTCTAACACGTAAAAGTAAACTGTTGATTATATGATCTACAAATCATTTTTAGGTTACCTACTTATATTGGAACATACGGACATGATTATCTTTTTAAATATACTTTTTGGACCAGAGAGTGCCTTTAGTTGATAGATACAATGGTGAAGGGGGGAGGATATAGCCTGAAATTTCGGCTGCCCCCAGATATTATCTTGATCATTTTCACCTTATCGTTCGATATATTGATATGATCTTGATTATTTCTGTATCTATCAATTGTAATTATATCAATTACATTTATGTTTGTTTACAGTACAATGTCCACTTTAAGCTCTCTCCTCTTTGTTATGTGAACTCCCTTTGATAGGGAGACATTATTATGCCTCTATGTTATTATTATATCTGTGACATTTAAAGGTGGGGTAGGTAATTTTGGAGAAACCAGCTCGAGTGTGATAGAATTGGAAAATACACAGCCGAAAAAAATCTGCCCCTTCCTTACAGAGCCCCTCCTCCAACACACACAAACGCGCACATGACCAATGAGGGCACGAGATAAATTTGTGCACAGATGGAAGGCTGACAGGCAGGTAGGCCAATCATTTTAGCCGCCGGCTTTTTACAGTACTACGGCTTCCACAGATGACATTTTTTTATGGATTTATTGTCAAAGCATTTAATATATTCATTGCTATCGGGATGTTAAGAGCATTCCATGGAATAAAACAAAAAGTGTTTCTGAAATAAATGACATACCCCACCTTTAAGTGTCTTAAAATTGTAATTATATTGTTGCGTCTGTAGTATATTTCTATACATTTCTGTAGCTTAGTGAGAATGTATATTGTAGAATACTCAATATTTTCTTTATATTGTGTATTATTTAGATACTCTAGTGATATATTTCCTTTTCATTGTAAATTTGTATATACTTGCTGCTAATTAGAATTTTCCTTACATTTTTAACTTGTGTAATGCTTGACAACACTGCTGCTGTGACAAAATAACTTTCCAAATTTGGGATAAATAAATTATCTATCTATCATCTCATCTTTATTTCAAATGTTTCTTGGACTATATATCTTCCATTAAAAGCAGTTATTGCCACTGGCCTAGTCTGGTGTTAAATGTTATAAAAGGAACTCTTGAAAAACAGCTAATGTTACAGATGAATGCTCCTTAAAAGGTGTGCCGTATAATTCAACATTAGCTCTTGGAGGCCGTCACCTTGATGTAGTTCATCATCTGCAGATTGAAGTGGTCTTTGGAGCTCTCCAGGATCAGGGTGCAGCCCATGTTGGACGTCGTGTTGTGGAGGTCGAAGATAACATCGTAGGCATCTGGGCTTCCTTTGGGTCCGAATATCCCATTGATCTCCTGGGCTCTCTGCACCTCGTAGGGCTGGTTGTCTCCTTGAGGGGCACTGCAGAGCACAGACACACAAAAACAAACACATTACTGTAACAGTGTATTTACAGGTCTCTGTAAAAAATCCCTTGAAAAACTGCAACTAATCCAGAACGCTGCTGCCAGAGTCCTGACCAAATCAAAAAGAGTAGCACACATCACCCCAGTTCTTAAATGTCTGCACTGGCTACCAGTAGCTTACAGAATTGATTTTTAAATGTTATTGCTGACTTACAGTATAAAGCATTAAATGGTTTGGGACCCCAATATATGTCCGACATGCTGAAAATGTGCTAAAACGTACCTTATACCTTACCTTACACATACAGCGATGAAAAAGTTGGTAACACATTCACAGCTTATCATAAAATTCTGCTGATGGAATGATGAATAAGAACCATGTTAATAATTGTCTACTTGTCCTACATGCTCTGTAACACTTTCACCTAACTGTTGGGCATAATCTTTATAATTGACAAGTTATCACAGTAACTGCGAGAGCAAAGTCAGAAAAAAAAGACTTGGTGTATGCTTTGTATTCACTACAGTTCTTCAAATGTGGAAAACTAAAAAACATTAATACCTGCATATTTTGTCTTGATTATAACTATGATTCCACCTCATGGTAGCCCTATGTTATAGGTTGGAATACAAACACTGGATTCAGCAGGACAGTGGCCCCCTTTTGTGAATGTTAAGAATAAATGCCAGCCACTTTCCCCAAGCCTTGTATGTCTGCTCCAATCCTTGAGAGATTTGTTTCGTGTCAAGTCTAAACATGGGTTTTTCCTGCTCAGGCATACCTTCCTTGTCTGTGACAGACATTCAACACTGAGCACAGAATGAGAGTTCCCTTTTTTCTCTTAGCCCTTTAAAACCATTTTAGAATAACAACTGGTCTAGGACATTCTCCTAACTACTGCAGAATAGCACCTCTGCTGTGCATATTGTCTCGCCTCCCTCACATCTGCTCTTTACACCCCACTTTCAGCAAATATCCGGTATTGTCTGGATTGAAGGGACTTTGGTACACAACCACAGTGAGCCACAGCGAATACAAGTGGTCTCCAACACACAGCCGACAACTGAGAGAACAGTTAACACAGTCAAAGGAAAAGGCGGATGAAAACAACACCATGGGATTTTTTTTTTAGAAAAGTGGATAATCTTTTTATAGATTACTCCCAGACATGCCAAACTGAAAGTATAGAAAATATTTTTAAAGGGTCATTTTAAAAGTGGCAGATGAGGTAATAACCGCATACAGAACGATCTGTGCATCAGACAAAGTGGAGTTGAGACCAGGAGGAGGAGTCGCAGTTTTATATGTTTCTCTGCGCTCTCTCCAATAAAATACCCAATATTAGCGGTGTGTGTGTGTCTGCCCAAGGACAATTTAAAGTAAAACCTAATAGAGGTGTCACACATAATAACTTAAAAGTAAATGTAACTACTACAGTGAAGATAAAAAACAGGAAGATTAAATGTGGACTCTTAAACATAAGATCTTTAGCATCTAAAGCAATATTGATAAATGATTTAATATCAGATTATAATATTGATATATGCTGTCTCACTGAAACTTGGTTGAGACATGAAGAATATGTCAGCATAAATGAGGCCACTCCACCCAGCCATATCAATACTCATATTGCCCGAGGCACGGGCCGAGGAGGTGGAGTTGCAGCCATCTTTGACTCAAATGTACTTATCAATTCTAAACCAAAATTAAATTATACCTCCTTTGAAAGCCTCACTTTTAGTCTTACGCATCCGACCTGGAAAACTTTGCAGCCAATCTTATTTGTTACAGTGTACCGTTTTTTGGTAACTTTTGAAGTACTGTTACTAGACTACAAAGCATTAGTCAAAAGCTCCTGCAGCAGAAACCTATCTGTTAGTGCTATAGCCAGATTTAAGGAAGAGATTCCACCAATACTTAACTCGATAGCATGTCTGCATGTACAGGAGGAAACGTATACAAAATGTACACCACCCCAAATTGGTCATGTTGTTGATAGTGCTATAGATGCGCTGCGAATAAAATTAGACTCTGTTGCTCCTTTGAAAAAGAAGAAAATAAAACAACATAGATTAGCTCCATGGCATAATGCCGAAACCCGCAAAATAAAGCAAAAGTCGAGACAACTTGAAAGGATATGGCGTTCCACTAAACTTGAAGAATCTCGTTTAATTTGGCATATTACTCTCAATGAATATAAGAAAGCACTGCGTAAAGCGAGAGCAGCCTACTACTCTTCATTAATAGATGAGAATAAGAATAATGCAAGATTTCTTTTCAGCACTGTAGCCAGGCTGACAGAGAGCCACAGCTCGATTGAGCCTTCTATTCCCATAGCACTCAGTAGTAATGATTTTATGTGCTTTTTTAACGATAAAATTGTTACTCTTAGAAACAAAATGAATGACCTCTTGCCTTTGACCAGTATAGTGTTATCAACAGCTCCCGGAAACGTAAGTTCTAATATTACACTAGATAGTAAACTAGAATGCTTTTCAGCCATAAACCTTGAACAATTAAATTCAATGATTCTCTCTTCTAAACCATCAACGTGTATGTTAGACCCAATTCCAACTAAGCTGTTGAAGGAAGTTTTTCCATTAATTAGCACTTCTTTATTAAATATTATGAATGTCTTTATTATCAGGCTATGTTCCACAATCATTTAAAGTTGCAGTAATAAAACCTCTTCTTAAAAAGCACAACCTCGATCCAGAGGTTTTAGCCAATTATAGACCTATTTCTAATCTTCCGTTCCTCTCAAAAATTCTTGAGAAAGCGGTCGCAAAACAGTTGTGTGATTACTTAAAAAACAATGATTTATTTGAAGATTTTCAGTCTGGCTTTAGAACACATCATAGCACAGAGACAGCTCTGGTTAAAGTCACAAATGACATTCTAATAGCTTCTGACAAGGGACGTGTCTCTATTCTTGTTTTGCTCGATCTCAGTGCTGCATTTGATACTATCGACCATGATATCTTATTGCAAAGACTAGAGCACTTAGTTGGCATACAGGGAACTGCTTTAGACTGGTTTAGGTCCTATCTATCTGAACGCTCTCAGTTTGTACGTGTCAACGATGAATCTTCCATGCAAACCAAGGTTAGCCATGGAGTGCCACAGGGCTCAGTGCTTGGACCTATTTTGTTCACATTATATATGCTTCCGTTAGGCAATATTATAAGGAATCATTCTGTACATTTCCACTGTTATGCGGATGATACTCAACTATATTTATCCATCAAGCCTGATGAAACCAATCACCTACATAAAATTCAAGACTGCCTCAAGGACTTAAAAACGTGGATGACCTTAAATTTGTTGATGTTAAACACGACCAAAACTGAAGTTATTGTACTCGGCCCAAAGAATCTACGAAACAAACTATCTAAAGATATACTAGTTATGGATGGCATTAATTTGGCCTCCAGTGAGACTGTAAGGAATCTTGGTGTTATATTTGATCAGGATTTATCCTTTAACGGCCACATAAAATCAATCTCAAGGACCGCCTACTTCCATCTACGCAACATTGCCAAAATTAGGCATATCTTGCCTCAAAACGATGCAGAGAAACTAGTCCATGCATTTGTTACTTCTAGGCTGGATTATTGTAACTCTTTATTATCAGGGAGTACCAAGAAGTCAGTCAAGTCGCTTCAGCTGATTCAAAATGCTGCAGCTCGTGTACTAACCAGAGTTAGGAAAAGGGACCACATTACTCCTGTTCTGGCTGCCTTACACTGGCTCCCTATAGAACACAGGATAGAATTTAAAATTCTTCTTCTCGCCTACAAAGCCCTTAATGGGCAGGCGCCATCTTACCTTAAATAACTCATTATACCCTACTGTCCTACTAGGGCATTGCGTTCCAAGAATGCAGGGTTGTTGGTTGTTCCTAGAGTCTCTAAAAGTACAATGGGAGCCAGAGCCTTTTCTTATCAAGCTCCACATTTGTGGAATCAGCTTCCAGTTTGTGGGCGGCAGATAGCCTATACGTTTTTAAGAGTATGCTTAAGACCTTCCTTTTTGAAAAAGCTTATAGTGATAAAATAAAATAATCTAATAAGAGTGCATTGACGTAGATACGTTGTGCCTCTTCACCTATACATTTTAGTTCTTACTCTTTCACTTAAATCCTAAAAACTTAGATCTTATATTTAAAACTTTATACAAACCTTTCCCCTCTATGACCTCTCGAGGTTTATTAGAGGGTAACAGGTTGCAGAGAACGCCTAGCCCGGCCGGGGAGTGTGGTATGTAGTCACTGACCCACTCCTACCTCTGACAAATTCAGGTTCCAATGGGGACCTTTTTCCCTGTGTGTGCCTCTCCACCTCTGTTTCCTCTTACTTGCTACCCTTTTCTCTCAACCTATCCTAAGGGAGTGCATGTATGTAGACACGTTAGTTTAGCTGCTATAGGCTTGGACTGTTGAGGGGGGCACCTTACTCCGTCTTTCTGGCTGTTTGTACCTGTGTACTCTCATGTTCCGATTAACCCAGTTTCCCCCAAATCTCTTTTTTGTGTCCATATATACGCCGGGATCCTGAGTCGAGGCTAATCATGTTGCTGTGGTCGTGTGCCCTGGATCCTCTATCCTGAGCACTGGATCTGAGTCCTGGACTTCGAGTCGTGGCTGAACCTGTCTCTGCGGTCCTGCCAGACTCTCACCATACTACTTCACTGATGGCTCCCACAAGATTGCTGACATCCTCGTGGATTCATCTTCTTATTATACACACATGCATTTCCAAACATTTGGACTACCTATGTTGTAAATGTATTATCTTTTCGATTTACATACGGCATCTATTGCACGTCTGTCCGTTTTCCCCTTTAAACTGTGGGGTTTTCTCTGGAAGTTTTTCCTTGTACGATGTGAGGGTCTAAGGACAGAGGGTGTCGTATTGTCATACTGATATTCTGTACACACTGTGAAGACCACTGAGACAAATGTAACATTTGTGATATTGGGCTATATAAATAAACATTGATTGATTGATCATTACATTAAGTAAAATACCTAAAAAAGAAACGACAACAGAACTTGAATTGTAACTGTAAAATTAGGGCTGGGTGATATGGAGGGGAAAAAATCAAATATTATATATTTATCCATATACCTCAATATCGATATTGCGACTAAATTGTAGGGTTGACAGTCAGGGCTTTTACCAAATATTTACTCATTAAGATTTTTGCTAAATAATTATCAGAATTGGTTACATATTGACTAAATGGTTAAAGGAGATGATATAACTGCTTCAATGCAACAACCTTTAGAAGCAGAAACAAAGTATGACAACATACAAAATGTAACACATCATTTAGTCTCATAGAAATATCGATATACATAAGGCTAATAACATATTGCCTAGCCAAAGGTTAAAAGGCCATGTTCGAGCCCATATAGATACATCACGTGATAACACTACTTTACAACTTGCCCCAGGACACAGTATAATAACCTTGGGAATGTTATTATAGGACTCCTATGGTGATTTATGACCATATCCAACCACTGCTTTGTGCGTTCATGCACGCGGTCTCTATATGCCAGCATTTGCGTAAAGCTTCCGCTGTATTGCAAACGAAGAGACACGAATGAAGAAAAAAAAGCACATCTCGGTCACGTTTCGCTCACGTTTTCCCTGCTGGCTCAGAGTCAGATCAAATCCGGGACACGCTGCTCTGCTGTTGTGGGGGGGGGGGGGGGGGGGGGGGGGGGGGGAGAGACATGACTAGTGGTAAACACACATTCACCCTACCTGAGATAACAGTTGGATTGCGTTGCGTGACAGTGTACATCGTGTTTTAAAAACCATCCTAGTGTAACCCGTTATTCTACATTTCAATACAGACGTTGTTTTTCATTCTATTGTTATAACTACATGTTTTCTAAACAGGATGTCTTAACATATCCCGTATTTGTCTGACAGGTGTCAATAATGCATGTCATTACATTTCACAACACATAGAAATCTCCAATGATCGATCCTTGATTTTAGTCATTTCAGTCCCAAAAAAACGGCCCCAACAAGAACATTTCCACAAGACCATTCCTACAATGTACAGTATAGGTGTCATGTTTCTTTTAACCAAAGATATATAATCAGTAAAATCACATTCGTGGTCATATGTGAATGTTATATGGATAGGTGTAATGTTTCCATTCAACATGTATGACAGCAGACACAACATCCAGATCCAGCCACACTGACAGCTCTGAGGCGTGTGGCCGTTTTTACCTGAGGTTTTCCGGGGTGAAGGCTCGGTTCAGGTCCGTGTCCACATATCTGGCGCACTTCTCCACAGCCTTCGGGTTGGTGATGAACGGTTTGGTTTCGACCCCTTTCCTCTGGATCTCGGCGCCGTTTTTCACCCACAGGTTCACCAGCGTCACGCCTGACATCTCGTTCCCGTGCGTTCCTCCGAAAATAGCCACTCTCCTTGCCTCTTCCAAGCTCACAATGCTGTTAAAAGAGGACATGTCTGGGTGGTGAATGTGTGCCGAGTGTTGAAGTTGAAGACACACAGGTCTCTGGAGCGTCAGCAGGAGAGGAAAAGTTTCCAGCTGGATCTTCGCAGCCACACTGTTTAAATGCCTTCTGTGGCTACGCGCTTACGTAACGTGTCAGCTAGCTGGTTGTATGGAAAGCAAACAGTGCCACAATAGGCCAAAACCCCAAAGCTTGGGGACTTTAAAATGCAGCTTTTGTTGTTAAAAAATAGGTTCAGCCAAAGAAAACATCCATAAGTTGCTTTTTATTACGTTTTTTTCTTATGATAATGAGATCCGAGTACTTTTTCCACCTCTGTTTTTACCTATGCATTGATTTGGTCTGGCTTTACTCTAGGAGGGGCTCATTATACAAACAAAAATGTATTTGTTTTTCTTGGAGAAAAAACCCCAGCATGTTTTAACGATAACAGAAACACCATAAGAACTAAAATAGGGTTGAAAATTGGCATGTTATGGCATGTTTGCTATATAGTTGTAATCTAGTTACCATGTAATACTGATCACAATGATATAGAAAGCAAATATTAATAAATACATTTTCGTATCTGCTGGCGTTATTCCAAAATAAAGAGTATCAAACATTGTTTATATATTTTAGTTATCATAGTGTTGGACCTTTCTGGATTAATTACTTCTTGTCACGCCCTTTAAAATAAATAAATTCCCCAAGTTTAAGATACAGTTTACAAGTACAATAAGGCTTACATATTTGCTTCTCATTCTTATTTACAACATTGTTGTAAATGTTTCACCTATAGCAATGGCTCTATATTACCTATTAACTTCATGATGGTTCTGATATGGTGCACTTTGTAACAGCTATTACAAACCCTGACAGTCATTCACAGACTACCATATCATTTGCAGTCAAAGTTAATTTGACTAATTGTGTCTCACTTACACACTGTGTCCATTGTTATGTAGCAAATCACCAGAACAAATCACTCGTATGTACACACCTGAGTATTATTAGGATGACTAGGTGGTCAAATGTATAAGTTTAATTAATAAATAAAGATTAAAGTAATGGTTTGGTTTTACATTGAAGAATGATGACATCAAATTGATTAATATAATTTAGTGAAGTTTCTATTACTGTTATGTTGATAACCGGTAGAAATAAAAAAGTAAAATGACTGGTTTGTTAATCCTTTACAAGTTTATTGTAACACCAAAAAGGTGAAATGCTTCGATACAAAACACCAAAAAAACAGAAATTGTCACAGCTTCGAACTGAAAACATTGTCCATGTAATCGATAGAGAAAGTGTCCGATGCATTTGTCTCTAAAAAAAAAAGAAAAAAGAAAAGAAAAATGACATGTAATGTATCAGTCATTTTGTGTGTTAGGGTATCCAGAATTATTTTAAAACTCAAATCAATCAACCCCATCACTTTGTCTACCATTCACCTAAACTGAGAGGTCATAGAAATCCTCAATTGGATTATGAAGTTTTCGTCTGACCTTTTTGCTTTTAACGATAATGTCTGAAAGCAACATCTCAGTTTCTGAGTGAAAAGTCTCAGCACTGGGAGCACGTTTGTCTTTTCTCTTGTGTGAAACTGAGCTACAGTCTTTGAGTGAAGACTTTACTGATTCAACATCTTTAGAGGCAGATGGATCCTCTCGTATCACATTGCATGGCTCAACTTTAGACTTTTTCTTCTTTTTCTTTTTCAACACCACAGTCTCATCAGTTGGAGAAAATTCCACATCACCTGCACTTTTCAAAGTTTGCGCGGGGGTTACCGACTCGGTTTCATTTCCCGTTTCTTTCTTCTTCCTTTTCACCCCCGTGTTGGGTTCCTCAAAACCCTGCTCAGGATTTATTTCAACACTGTCCTGCGCTGCTGACAGCTTTCTCTTTTTCCTAACCCCGTTGTCATTTAGTTCCACGGGTGTCTGAGCATCATTATCTTCTGCATCAGCAACACGGAAGGATGAGGTCCTTTTCTCTTCCTTTTCCTGCACAGACACTAAATCATTGCTTTGCGGCGAGTTGTCTTCAGATAAATTGCTGCTTAATATTTCCTTCCTTTTCTTCTTCATTTTTTCCGTCAGATTAGCATTTTGGTCTTCAAGGCCCTCCTTTGTTTTTTGGGTATTATCAACCTTTTCATTTCCATTTCCGCAAGAGATATCTAACCCTTGAGTAGCTTCTTTAGAACATGACACTCGCTTCTTTTTGTACTTTTTCTTTTTAACACAACTGGATTCTAATGTTTCCTGAGAGTCTGCAGCATTTTCTGAACAGATTTCCAATCCCTCTAAGTTTTCTGGTGACATTGGCGGCAAATCTAAAGTGCGATTTGATGCCTCCTCTTCTTCACATTCCTTTGTAGTTGCAATCCCTTCTTGTTTTTTCCTTTTTTCCTTTTTCTTCTTCCGTGTCTCAGCATCAGCATTTGGAGGTTCAGTAACTGTTTCTAACTGCTCAAAGTCCTCAACCCTTTTCTTTATCTTCTTCTTCTTACGCTTGTCCTCCATCTTACAGATCACTGACGCCAAAGAATGCTCTGCTCTCACGTCAGTTTCAAAGCTTTCATTTGCTTTTTCCTGCCTGACATCTTCTGCCGCAGAACTTTTCTTTTTTCTCCTCGATTTCGAGGGCACCACAAATAGTTTCCTCTCCTGTAAAATAAAAAAATAGCTTAATGCCAACTTCACAAACAATATATACTATACTATGATGTAAGATTTGAACAGCCTGCTTACCACCACTTTGATGTCTGCCTCATCCACCTTTTCTCCGTCATCTCTGTAACAGAATATATGTGATTTATTATCAATATTAAAAGTGGTGCACACTTTATACAGGACCATTCAACTGTGAGAGGCAATACAATTAAACAAATGTATACAGCAAATAGAAATTATGAATTATAAAAATAAAATCAATGAAATAGAAGAATAGATCTAAGAAAGACAAAAACAAACAATATAGGTCATCATTGAACATGAATAAAACAAATAATGAAAAACAAATAAAGAAAGGACTTAAGCCTTCTATTGAAAAATATTTTTAGAGGAGAGATTTATGTAAGTTTTAAAATATCAACACTTTGTACATTGATGACACCACAACAATCTAACATGAATAGATTAAAGTGTTTTTCGCTTGTCTCTTTTAATTTAAATAACGGATTCATTGTGTGGAAAGATAAATAAAAACATATTCATCATTAAAGGTAGGGTAGGTAAGAATGGAGAAACCAGCTCGAGTGCGCTAGAATTTGAAGGTACGCAGTCGAAAGAAATCGGCCCCTTCCTTCAGACTTCCTTACAGAGTCCCTCCTCCAACACACATGAACGTGCACATGACCAATGAGGGCACGAGATAAGTGTGTGCACAGATGGAAGGCTGACAGGCAGGTAGGCCATCCAGTTATTTTAGCCGGCCGGCTAAAATAATTGGTCGTGCTTTTTACAGCGTCAAAGCACTTAAGATATTCATTGCTATCGGGATGTTAAGAGCATTCCATGGAATCTTTGGGGGTTCCCACAAATTATTTTATTCTACCGCTTCAGTCTAGATGATCTTAAGTGTTCTTCAAATATTTTTGAGAATCAACTGTATCAAAAGCATTCAGATCAATATTATAAGCATCTAGATTTATTAAAATCCCATCAGGGGACATACATTCT